ACATGTCTGCATTGGCCATGGGCTGCGGGCTGCCACCGTTTCTGACGGCTGCACTGGTTCTCCTCTGCCTGCTCACTTCAGGAGGGGACTTGGCCAAAGGACCCTGGGGCCACGCCTGGGGGGTGACACTGTTCCCCAGCCCTCCACGCTGAACAGTGCAGTGTTTACTGCAGACCTGATCTGGAGCCATTTGCTCTGCCTTCTCCCTGATAAGGGGGCGGGAGGAATTCACCACCCAGAAACCCCAAACATGTCCCTGAACTGCTGTCGGTGCTGTGGGGATGCTGTGAGTCTGAAAGGAGGACAGGAGGCTGGTGAGGGCCATGGTCCTCTGCGTGGCGTGGAGACTGTTCAGGGAATTTCATTTTGCTTGTGGAAAGTTAGATGTAGGGGCCAGTGAAAGCAGATGCTCTATCCTTCCTGTACATGAAATTACAGTTCTTGGCATATTTTTTGCCATAATAGATAGTTGTGTCTATTACATTCTGTCTTTAATAATCTGAGAATTATAATAATTTAGACAAAAAAACAACAAAAAAAGCATTTTTCCTTCCACGAAGGAAGTTACAAATGATGGACCTAATCTCACTGCCACTTCTCCCACTGCATGTTTTTGTTTTGTTCTGCTTAATCTGTGAGAGACTTAAAACATTAAACCCAATGATGTTACCTGATGTCTCAAAAAAGCACCGGAGTATTTCTGTTTGTATTTTGTAGTGTGTTTATTTGTTTTTTGTCTTGAATGTTCCCCTGGATTCTCCAGGTTAGACGAGTCTCACTTGCATGAATTCATAGACAAGACCGTGGCTCACGTTACCCCGTGTGTGTGAGCATCCCCTTCCCATTCCCCAGCACCCTGGGGTGGCCCCCACCCCATTCCCACAGAGAGGCAGACACCTCTTCATGGCTGAAGCAGTTGGTGTTTATTTGGCAATTAGAGACCAGCAGAACCAGAGGATGTTTCCCCGTGAGCCGGGAGCATCTCCAGGCATGAATGCTTGCGGGATGCTCAGTGGTACTCATGGGCCAGCGCGTGGGCCACCACACGGACCATCTTCTGCCAGGCGGACTGGCAGGCAGGGGTGAAGTCCTTGCCGAAGTGGGTGGCCAGGACGACGATGAGGATGTCACCCAGGAGCTGGCAATGGAGGGAGGAGAAGCTGTCAGCCTGGTGCTGCCCCCCCACCTCCCTCCCCACCATCGCACCACCCAGGTGTTCACGCATGGACACCGGTTATTGGGGAATTCATCGCAAAGCAAGGAACGGATTTGTCACAGCCCCGTGCAGAGCACCAGGCTCCTTGCACAGCTTGCATCTCTGGCACTCACCGGGATGCCTGGATGGGCTGGATCCTCCTCCCCAAACGCCTTCCTTTGCCTGCTGTGCAGTGTCCTTCCTCTGCTTCAACTGGGTTTATCCTTTCCTTTCATATCCCTACCCACCCTTGCTTTCTCTTGGCTCAGATCCCCTCCTTCTGCTGAAGTGGCTGTGTTTATTTTCTCTCCTGGTTTAACCACTCCATCATAGCCAAGCTCAGCTCTTCCCTCCAAACCCTGTCTCGTTTTCTTCTCTTCTGGTCTCTGGCTGCTCCAAGCCAACGTTGCTTCCTACCGGCACGTATTCGACTCTGCATTTCATCCCCATCCACCTTGCCTGCCTGGGTCCCTCCTCTCACAGATCCCAGCCCCATAACTCATTCTCTATTCTCCCCAAATATGCCTATGCACTCCCCCTTCCCCTCCACTGCCCCTGCCCTCAGCAGGCTCCCAGGCTCAGGCAGCCTCAGGGTTTCTCTCTAGGTCTCGCTGACTGTCAGACACCTCAGAGACCCTAAAGTCCTCCCCAGAGAACAGAAACCTCTGCCCAGCTGAGGCTGGAGTCCGAGCACGGCTCACCCTGAAGTTCTCGGGGTCCACGTGCAGCTTCTCGCAGTGGAGTTTGCTCAGCTGAGCAAAACATTTCTTGATGTTGTCCAGGTTCTTGACGGCTTCCCCGAAGGAGGTGAGCACTTTCTTGCCATGGGCGCGGACCATAGGGTTGCCAAGGATGGCAGTGGGGCTGGAGAGGTTCCCGAAGGAAGTGAAGAACCTCTGGGTCCAGGGGTAGACGATCAGCAGCCTGGGGAGAGATGGGGGGACACGCGGAGACACAGACATGTTAATGCTCCCGTGACTGGAGTGGTTTCTTTATCCAGGGTGCAGCTGAGCAGATGTCCAGGAGCTGGACCTACCTGGCCAGGGCCTCAGCACCGCATTCGGCCACATTGACCTTGCCCCAGAGGCCGGTGATGAGCTGCTTCTCTTCGGCTGACCAGTGCACCATGGTGTCGAGCAAGAGGGTTTGTCTGGGGCTTCCCTAACAATGATGAGGAAGTGGAGCCGAAGTCTGCCCCAGGGATTTTTATATACTAGTAACGGCTTGTCCTAATCTCAGTTCACGTAGCTATTGGT